CTTGTTGCGTTCTCTCTAGCCGCCAGTTGAATGTGGCCGCGGGTGCAAGTAGAGGTCTATGGGGCTACCATTGACTGGGACTTAGAGCCCCCTGAACTCATAGAGGGGGATCTGGTCGAGCTCACGATCCCCGGACGCAGCATTCGACAGAGGTACCGGCCTGGACTGGCCTACCCCGAATATAACACAGGCCTGTGAGAAAAGGCCAAGGGGCTGGTCTCATAGGCCAACCCGAGGTCCGCTACACGATCCTCGTCCTGTGATGGATCGCCTAGATACAAACATTCTTCCGCCAAGAAGCGGAACTCTACCAAAGAAAAGAAAACGTGAGTAGTCTAGGATGCGGAGCAAGCTCCATGCTGAGTCCATGCGATGCAACCTAGGATATAAAATGTCACAAAACAACAATGTCACAGCTAACAGCCTAAGTGAAAGCAGAAGCAACTAACTAACATACATGTCCTAGGAAAGCAGAAAGTAGTGACAACTAGATCCTAGAATGTTGGAGGCACTAGCCTTAGTCTGGTAACAACTGACTAGTGTATAAGTCCTAAGAACAACAAAAGCAGAACAACTAAATCCTAGAAATGTTTGAGGCAGTAGCCTTAGTCTGCGAGCAACAAAGTAACAACAAGTCTATCATATGTCACATGAGAAGTGTGTCGCAAACCAAAGGGTGGGATGGTCTCTGAGGGTGGCGAATGCAGCCTAGGGGTCGAAAACTCCTAAGGGCATCCACACATAGATAACAGGGAGACACATGTTATCAGGCTCAAGGAGGGTAGGGAACTGAGAGCGAACAGAACCAATGACCCTAACAGATAGACCATCAGGGCGGGTAATGCTCGACTAAGAGGTGACCGCGATGGAGGGTTGACCATGCAAAGGAACAGCGGAGCCTGGTATACTGGGCGCACATAGATGAAGCATGCGGGGCTGCCTAACTAGGGCGTGAGGGTCGGCGAAGGGTAGAAAGACGATGGGTGAGGGAATCATGCAAATGACTCCTAAAGTGAGGGAAGTCGGAGCTAGATCCGTAAGATGGGAAGCCAGGGCAACGCTACGGTCCCGATGCCTATGCGTATACCAAGGGAGAGCCCAACTCTGAGGAACCTGGCTAAAGGGAGACCATCATGCGGCACAACCAGGGTACTGTACAGGGTAGAGTGGTAAGAGAGTGGCGACGTCTGAAGTAGGCAGAGCTGATCGTGATGAAGTCCATGAAGCTGCCAATGACGTCCACGATGAGAAGTCCGGAATGCCGTGGAGGAAGAGCCGCAGCGTTGACGAGCTGAAGTAGCAAAACTGATGTGGATGGAGTACTGAGAAGTCAAAGACGTGGGAAGGTAAGTCAGAGTCAATCGTCGTATCGAGCAGGACGACGACGAGTGCGCTGTGGACGCTCAGAAGCATCCGGCTGCTGCTGAAGGTCTGCCTCAGATGGAGGAGGCTCGACTTCAGCGGTCTCCTCAGGCGGAGAAGAAGGAGGAGGGTCAGTGGGCTGAGGAGGATCAGCGAACCCAGCACGACGAGCACAGTCATAGGCACGCACCAACATGCGAGCGTGCTGCAAGTGCTCGAGGGGCTCCCAGGTAGCCTCCTCATCAGGGTAACCCTTCCAACGTACGAGATACTCGACGTGGGGAGGGTTGTCGTCGGTGACTCGGCGACCAATGATGTCTGAAACGAGGAACTCCTCGTGACCGTCCACCATGATGGGTGGAGGGCGCTTGTATGGTCGTCCAACGAAACGCTCAGACGGTTTGCCGTAAGGACGCAGTAACGAGACGTGGTAGACATCATGCACACGAGCCTGGCGTAGGTAGTCGGGCAACTTCACACGAAAGCTGACCGGGCTAGATGCCGTATCARAACCGACGGCCTGGAGGATGCGGCATTGGCCAAAGAAGCGACGYCGAAACTTGCGAAGCGTGTCCGCTTCAAGCTGTAAGTGGCGGGCGTCGATAAGCACATCATCACCGACTTTGAATGGATGATCCATTCTCGATCGGTTCGCACGTGCTGCCATGCGAGTCTGGGAAGCGGCTATATGCTCATGTGCGGTCTTCATTATCGACGTCATGTGTGCAACCCAATCATCCAGCGCGGGACAACTCGTGTCAGGGTGCATCTGGGACGGTCGAAGGAAGTCTGCGGGAACACGAGGGTGATAGCCGAGGTCGCAATAGTAAGGCGACATCCCCGTGGCTGGCGAGACGGCGTGGTTGTAGGCTATCTCCGCGTGGGCAAGATGAAGATCCCATTGCTGGTCGTCACGAACAATCTTTCGAAGAATATCTCCGAGAGTCCTGTTCATGATCTCGGTCTGACCATCAGTCCGAGGATGGTAAGACGAGGAGAAGCGGAGCCGAGTGCCGTATACCTCGTGGAGCCGTCGCCAGAATCGGCTGGTAAAGCGCGGGTCACGGTCAGATATGATGCTCAGAGGTAAGCCGTGGTCACGCACGATTCGGTCGAACACGATGTCGGCGACCTCACGTGCACTGATGGCATAGCGGCACGGAACAAAGCGTGCACGCTTCGTGAAGCGGTCGACAACGACCAGGATAGCATCATGACCGCGAGGGGTCGGAGGACGAAGAGGACCGATAAAGTCCATCGAGATGGACTGCCAACGACCCTCAGGGATAGGAAGAGGCAGGAGCAAACCATAAGGCAAGTGGTTCGCACTGTTCACCTCCTGACAGGTCGGACACTCTGCGACGTAGTCCTTCACAATGTCCTTGCGCTTCGGCCAAACGTACAGGCGGCTCTCACGAGCCAACGTCTTGTGGAAGCCCATATGACCGGCAGCTGCCTGGTCATGGAACTCTGCTACTGCTCGGACACGTAGCTGTCCAGTGGAGGGAACGCAAATACGGGGCTCTCTGGTGCCCTGTGAACCGTGCCAGTACACAAGACCGTTGTCCCCGAGAGAGTAGTTCGGAACGGTCTTGCCACTCCGAAGGGTCGCGTGGATGTCGCGATAGTCGGGGCAGTGGCGGTACTGAGTGCGAAACTCGTCGATCACCGAGTGGTGGACGGTGGTGACCGAGATGGAAGAGAGCTGGATGTGCTCCTCAGGGCGCCGGGATAAGGCATCTGCGACCCGATTTGTCTCACCCTTGATGTGCTCAGTGGTGAAACTAAACTTGGATAGGTCGCGCCACCAGCGAGCCTATCGAGGAGTGAGCTTCGGCTTTGTCAGAAAAGCYTGGACAACAGAGTTGTCCGTGCGCACCGTGAATGGTGCCCCGTGCAGGTAGTGACGCCAGTGCCGAGCGGCATAAACTACTGCGAGAACCTCACGTTCATCAGC